ATTCAATAAATTCAATAAATATAGCCATAGTCTGTAAGGTGAAAAATGCTCTTCCCAAGGTTGAGCCAGGTCTCTGCCACTTCTTGGCTACTACAGAGATGGATGCTCCAGGTTATGCTTCTTTAGGACTTACTGCAGCCAGCCCTGGCAAGTCGGCCATAAATAGCACCACAGCTGTTGAAACAGGTTATCTGCACAGGCCCTGATCACCCAGTAGCGAAAGGTCTGGTTAGGCAGGAATTCTTCCAGAAAGTAGTGGGACAGGGAGCTGGTGAAGTGGGTTAAGGCCAAAGCATCATCCAAGTTAGGAAGCATTCCTGCCTCCCTTTCTTCCTTCCTTCATTCATCCATTCAGCACCTTAAGGGAGAGATTATTACTCACGGTGCTAATATGGAGGCTACAAAGTTGGAAACTGTCCCTGTCCTCAAGGGGCTTATGATATAAAGGAGGAGACAGATATCTAAACACCTGACATCACTATTGTGTAATAAAGGCAATAACTGACAAATATACAAATTGATATATTAACACAGAGAAACAAAAGGCTTTTTACACAAGCAGTGAGAGATACAGTGAGCTCTGGAGTCAAAGCACACCTGGGCTGGGATCCCGGCATGCCATGTTGGAAGTCAGGTGACTTTTCTGAGCCTCCCTTTCCCTATTATATCTAACCTACCTCATAAGGTTGTGTGGTGATTAAATTAGGTGATGCTCTGCTTCCCAATCTCAGACATTCAAGTACTACTTTCTTGATTTTTGCCTTATTAATATAAGCATGATATTTAATACTTTTATTTACATTGATTCAATTTTTAAAAAATTCCCCAACATTTTAATATGAAAAATTTTAAACATATAACATAGGTGAAAGAATTCTACATGGTCTACCATATACCCACCACCTAGATTCTACAGTTAACATTTTATTATACTTGCTGTATCACATTTCTGTATATATATTTATCCTCTCTCTATCCATTAAGCCATCTTATTTTCAGTGTCAAAGCTGCCAACAGTACACTTCCTCCTAAATACTTCAGCATGAATATCATTATCTAGAGTTCAGTGTTTGTTTATGGCATTTCTTATTGTACATTGGTTATAAAAATGAAACGCACAAATCTTAAGTGTACATTCACTAAGTTGTGACAGATGCGTACACCTGTGAAACCCCCACCAATAAATAGAACATTATCATCACCCACGGAAATTCCTTCATTCACCTTCCAAATTAATCACTGTCCCACAGGCAACCACGATTGTGATTTTTGTCCACCACAGATTGGTTTTGCTTGTTCTAGAATTTCATACAAGTAAAATATAACAT